GATGATGATCATATGAAGCCATTTATTATCAAAATAGTTGTTTTCCTCCTTTTTAAATCATAATGATAACATGAGGGATCAGAAAAGAACAAAGTCAAAAGTCCTGCGTAACAAGGTAATGGAACTTTATAAAGATGGAAAAGTACATAAAAAGATGTCCAAAGCCTTGAATATGTCAATCAGTACTGTTAAATCACCTATTAAGAAGTGGAAAGTTCGAGGATCTCTTGATACCAAGCCAAGGTCAGGTAGACCAAGAAAGATTGCAGCCATAACTGACTGAAGAATTGTCTGGGATTCAAAGAGAAATCAACAGGCAACCTCAAAAGAAATACAGGCTTCTCTGGAAAAAGATGGTGTGGTTGTTTTTAAGGAGTAAAATACGGTGATACTTGAACAAAAATGAGCTGGTTGGTCGAGGTGCCAGAAAGAAGGTTTTACTGCACCAATGCCACAAAAGAGCCCAGTTACAATATGCCTGACAACACCTTGACATGCCTAACCAGGCCTTTTTGTGTCATTGATGCAGTGAAGGCTTCTTTCTGGCACCTCGAGCCATGCAGCTCATTTTTGTTCAAGTTTCATCATATTGTGCTCCTTCAAAACAACCACACTGTCTTTTTCCAGAGCAGTCTGTATTTTTCTTGTGGCTACCTATGGTTTTCCCTTTGTATCCCGAACAATTCTTCTGGCAGTTGTGGCTGCAATCTTTCTTGGTCTACCTGTACTTTGCTTGGTATCAAGAGGTTCCTGAATTTTCTACTTTTTAATGGAAGTGATGAATGGCATATTCAAGGCTTTGGACATCTTTTATGTCCTTTCATCTTTATAAAGTTCCATTACCTTGTTATGCAGGACTTTTGACAGTTCTTTTCTGATTCCCATGGCTCAGTATCTAGCCTAGTCAGTGCTTCCACGAAAGAGCTAAGAAACTCATTGACTATTTATACACTGCCACGAATTGCAATTTAAAAAGCCACAGATGTGGGACATTAACCTCTAATTGGCATTTTAACCCGTGTGTGTCACCTTGTGTGTCTATACCAAGGCCAAACATTCCATGGTATGTAAATTTTTGATCATGGCCATTTGGGTGATTTCTGTTATCATTATGATTTAAAAAGGAGCCAAACAGTAGTTTAATAATGGCTGCATATGGTCATCATCCTTCAATAAAAGAGCATTTTTTTGGCATGATCAGTCATATTTTCAATATCAATGCCAAAATTTAACATTTTCTACCAGGGTATGCAAACTTTTGAGCACAATTGTATGTTTGTTTAAAAGAACAAATGTTTGTGACCCACAGTACAAAAACTTTGATTTACCTGATTGAGGGCCGCATTCACTGTTAGAATTTTGTTTGTTTAGGTAGAAATCAAGAAAACTATTTCTATCCTTCTCTTTTGGCATTTCGTCCCACTATGGTCGTTGATTTATCCCCATCAACTGTCAGAAAGTGAAATGATCGCAAAAATTTTTTTTTTAATTTTTCATGTAATTGTGTATTGCTAGCTTTAGTTCCTGCAAAGAGAGATCAGTCAGCTGCAGTATTGATGATGTGATCCTATACTTTATAGGCTCCATTGTCATCAAAATCCATTCTAACGAGTACACTGTGGTGCGTTGTGTTAATGTATGCATGTTAATGCACTTTGAATTATGGTAGCCAGTTCATCTAAATGGGCAAGCGCCACACCAAAACAGATCAAGAATTAAACATGAGCTATTTCCTGCAATGCAGCGTACCACAACACACGGTAGTGCCCTACAACACATTTGATGAAAGTGCATTGGGTTAGTGGTTAAGGGCGCCAATGAAAATGAATGACACTGAATTACGCTCACACATTTAAGTGCATTGTAGTAACACACTGCACTGGTAAGGTGTCAGTGAGTATTTACAAATCAAGCCACATATTGGGTTGTGTTCAATTAAAGCTGACTGAGGACTTATACTGAGAGAGAGAAGCAGTAACAGCGCAATCTGTTTGCAGAACAGTATGTGTAACCAGTGAGTGCAGCTACACAATGCACTTTTATTTGTCAAGACGAAGCCATGCAGCGAAGCAGGAGAGTGCCGAATGATCCTAAAAATGAGGTGTAGGGTCACTGTTGTTTATTATCACTAATGTAATTTCTTAGGCCAGCAGAGAGAAGCAATACAAACATCCCATATATGCCCAGTATTGCTTTCTCTGCCAGCAGAAATAAGCCCTCTGACATAACAGAAGGATGAACCATCAGTAAACATTAGCAGGATTTATTGTGTAATTACTGCAAGGATGCAAATTGAATTTGTAGCAATTGGATTTTATAAGTCTTCCATTGATTCCATATTTCAGGCACCTCGCACATTCACTGTAATCGGCATTACTCTTCCAGTGTGTCTGTTATTGTTTTCTTGCTGGTCAGTAACTTAACAGCTTCATTTACTGGCTTCCACATTAAAAACCAAAGAGCAAATATAGTAGCTATGTTAGCCATAGCAAGCAACTGCCCTTTTGCAGCAACTGAAAGTTGTAGAGAAAAGATAGGAGTCACACCTGGAAACAAAAAAAAAAATCATTCAAATTGGTCCCATAGTTGTTATCTGTCTTCAGAATGCCTTCAGTTTCATCAGGCATCAGGTTCTTTTTAAAGAGATCCTGTTAAACCTCTACCTACCTGTTCCCTGCAAGAGAAGATGTAGTATACTCGCCTTCCTGGTGGTCTTGATACCCTATCCCCCTCCATTCCTAAGGCGTCCATAGATTTCCGATTTTCTTGCCGAATTATCGGCCGATATTTGTACCGTTAGTGGGGAAAAATGTTGGCCGTTTTTCTTAATTTTAAGAGATTTTGAAAATCGTCCAAGGTGGAAAATCCTAGGACGATTTGTTAGATCGGCCGATTTTTTTTGCAGGGGGCACAGTAATCCAACATTCCTGGAAATGCCAAATGTCATTGACACTGAGGCTGCAGTGCTGGAATGGAGGGGAATATGGATTTGGATAGACACCTGACAGAGTGTCTTTTAAGAAGAAGCAAGTCTCTATCTGCTCTTATTAATGGCTATTTGGCCTTTCTCATTTGTGTACCCCTTTCCCTCTACACCCTGACAGCAATCTGGAGGCTACCATAGTATTGCTGGTATTGATGGAAAGGAAGTCAGCAGTGCACTAGAGAAAATATATCCCTCAGTAAAGCTGACCATAGACTGTACAGTCTGAGTTTACAATCTCCTTTAGATTTGTCATCAACTGTGTAGTGTAAGTGTCTGTTTTATTGGATGCAAATTGAATGGATCGTTTAGGTTTGTCCTTTTATTACAAAGTTTTAGAAAATCCAAAGGAGATTGTACAACCTGAGTGTACAGTGTATGGCCAGTTTAACTTGCACTTAAGCTGAACTGCAGGTATGATTTTTATTGCATAGTTATATTGACCCAATTTGGAGTATGTATATAAGAAATGCATACTGTATGTCATGCCAGAACCATCACTGAGGAAGCTGCAAATCACTGTTTGTGGTCATTGTCATTGCTGCTACAGTGATAACAGCAATCTTGCAGGTCCTGCATAGTCACCACAATTATTCACTCGCTCAGCACTGCTGCCATTCACAGAACGGTTTTTGTTTTTTTAATAAATACAAGGCACTGTCTGAGTGAATAGGGTGGAGAGGCAGAGCAGTGAAATCAAGATCTCCACCTTGTCCAATCAGAGAACACCAGATCTGGCAGCAATTACTACAGTGATTTGCAGCTTCACAGCAATTGCTCAGATATAAGATATGCACACTTACATTTCCCAAGCTAGACCAATGTAACTAAGAAAAAATAAAAACACACACTTAAAGTTCAGCTTTTATTTAAATATTTTCAACTCTGATATGATACTGTACAATAACTGTTACATATCTCCATGAATGATAATTGAAATGTATTTAAATAAACTCACAACTGTTTAAAGTGAACCTAATAAAGGCCTGAGCAAATAAACTGAGCATGTGAAATAAAATCATAAGAAGAGGATACCATCAGTGACAACTGCATGCCAGAATAATCTATAGATCCAGACATCTTGGCAGCTGCAGTTCTATGCAAATCTGGTCTTTGCCTAAAATAGCTGAACTGGACTCTTACCTTTTGGGCCTTTTAAGTACCATGTGGTCTCACTGTTCATTAGGAAGGTGAGGGCGGATCTAAGCGGAACTGTTTAAAGAACATTTGAGATTTTCATATAACTTCAGCTGTCTCCTTCCATGGATCTACAGATTCTTTTGACATTTGGCTACCATTTCAGTTTATACATTTTATCCTTTGCACAGTTTGAATTGCTCATATTGTCACAGGTTCACTTTAAGTTAATGCAGAACAGAGATATATAGGTGAATTTGGATAGCCTAATGTAAGAAAGGGTATCACTATAATTGTATACATAAATCTTGCTGCTATATTCAGTATATTACAATTCATGTGGTGCCATTTTTATTTGCTCATTACACGTACAGTGTTTGCTTCCTGCTAAGCAGTGTTGCACAGTGATTGTGCTGATCTTTACTTCTGATCTGTCTGATCAGGTCTACTTGTCTGTTCTGTCAAAATATGGAACAGCAAACCTTCAGAAATGCAAACTTCACTTTAAAAAAATTCTGTAATTTAATAACTTAGATGTGAATTCATTGAACATACTAGATGAATTCCTAATAAAGACCAATTCCAGACAATATTATTTTTTTGTTTTGCAGTAGCGAAGGGTTAGAACCCCTGTCAACAATTTATCACTGTCTGTGTCCCGATTTTAGAGATTTCCCCACACTTCCTGTCTATTTGATGGGTGTAAGACAAGAAGAAAAAGAAAATCCATCAACAGGGACACACCAATGTGTTTTGCATGTGAATGAGGATTACAATTGTACTAAAAGAAGTGATAGCGCATCAGAGTGTGGACATAGTTGAAACAGGTTAGAAGTGATTGTACTGAATTCTCTATCATCCTTTCTGCCAGGTAAACACTATGGGGTCTACAGCTGTGAGGGCTGCAAGGGCTTCTTTAAGAGAACAGTTCGGAAGGACCTTACATATACCTGCAGGGACAACAAGGACTGCCTGATAGACAAGAGACAACGCAACCGCTGCCAGTACTGCCGCTACCAGAAGTGTCTGGCCATGGGCATGAAGCGTGAAGGTAAAGCTCTTTCTACCTTCTAATGACAATTTTTAAGTTTTGTAAAGAACATTTCTATCTGCTTTGGGTGACCAGAGGGAGGGAGAGACATCGAAATTGATGACAATGCTTTAGTATATGGATTGGGCAGACATTCCTCCTGACACTCGTTTTAAAGGACTTCTGCAGCTGCCATGATTTAGACTTGAAATCGGCACAAACATGAGGTTGTAGGTATAAATCTACAATAGATGGTTCTCTAATATCTAAAGTATACTGTATACAGGCAACAAGGATTATTTGGGAGGCTGTATTTTTTTTTAATGAGATTGGAGTTTTACTTGAACAATTTTTTGATTTTACAAATAATTTCTGTATTGTTGAGAAGTTTTGAATCTGTTATTCTGCATTTGCTGTGTGATGACTGAACTGAGCGCTGTGTGTAGAATTGTCTTTCTGGCAGCTTTGCCCCCAGCACCATATTTAGACTGTAGAGAATTGTTTACCAATGCCAACCGGTTATGCCAGACTGTCGGCTTATCCAGTAAAACCATGTAAAGTACTATAACTCGTCACAGCCAGGTTACTCTGGTCACTTAAAATAATGTATCTGATGGGTTAATATACTTCATTATGTAACGCTGCATTGTCTATATTTCTCTATAAATAACACCTTGTCTTACAGGGTCAGCCTACTCAAAATCTTTTATTATGTTTTTTACTCTTCTATGTTGCTTTGGCATATAGAATAATTCAAATCAGTCTGCACCAGGGGAGCTTAAACTCTAAACTGCCCTACACAGACAGATGCTATTATTATTTTATACCTATGAAGCTCTGACGTTTTCTGCAGTGCTTGATTGTACAAAAAATGCTGAGCCATTCACATCAGTCTCTACATCAGAGGAGCTTGCACTTTAATGTCCCCACCACAGTCCTCCATTATTATTATACATTTATATAGCTCTGAAATATCCTGCGGTGCTGTAGAGAACCTTTAACTATTTATATCAGTTTCTGCAGTACAGGTGCTCACAATTTAATGTCCTCGGCACACACACAATTAAAAAAGGATAAGTTCACCTTTTTAGAAAAAAATAATAATTGCACATGTGCATTTATTATTTTTTCTTGCAGGAACCTGGAAAGCAGTGCACCCGTGATCAGTAGATTCGAGGTGCAATGTCAGGCTTCTACTCACAAGCCTTGAAGCTTTCAGTCCATACCTCCATACGAAAGCTGCAGGGCTTTGCGAATGGACTACAAGGGCGCTCATCAGTGCCCTTGCAGTTCATTTAGAACTACAAACTGTCTGCTGCAGTTGCTGATGGTAGTTGTAGTTCATTCATTCACAGGAAACTGTGAATGAATGATGCAGCCATGTGGGTGAAGCCATGCTGTTTTTGAATTGTGACAGCGGGTGCAGGAAGAAGATCCCCCGCCTGCTGTCACAATGAGGGGTGGTTTGGGGGGGAAGAAGAGGCAGGAACTGGAAAATATTACATGTTCCACCAGAAAAGGTTTTGGTGAAAAGGTTGGAATATTTACCGGCTGACATAAATGACTCTGTTGATAAGCATAATAAGGTTTGGAAATTGTGGTACTGTATTTCATAGAATACCCTCTCTGACTATTCTTAGCATCATAGGTGTATCTTTATGTCTAGAGATTGGGTGGAGGAACCTCGATTTCCAGTTGGCCGTCAGAGGGCACTGGGCATTTATATTCCCTTTTTTCCCTCTCTTCTTTCTCCTTCTTCTCTCTGCTTCTAAACTCTCTTACCTTTTCAGCATTGATTCCTATTGCTGTATTAACAGTTTACTGTTCACTATGGTATTATTTATTTATTATAGGTACTTATATAGCGCCATCAATTTACGCAGCGCTTTACATACATATTGTACATTCACATCAGTCCCTAACCCTCAAGGGGCGTCTAAAGTCCCCTAACTTACATTCATACATACAAATACTAGGGCCAATTTAGACAGGATCCAATTAACTTACCAGCATGTCTTTGCAGTGTGGGAGGAAACCGGAGTACCCGGAGGAATCCCACTTAGGCACAGGGAGAACATGAAAACTCCAGGCAGGTGGTGCCATGGTTGGGATTCGAAACAATGACCCTAGTACTGCCTGGCAGAAGTACTAACCATTTAGCCACTGTGCTGCCCATGGTAAAAGCAGACTGAATACATCTCTAACTTCACGTTGGTTATTGCAGTCTACTGTTTCTCATTGAGTTACTTATATCTGAGCTTCTACATTTTGTGAGTTATGATCTTTTACTTCATCATATTGTTTGACCCATATTATCTTCCGTGTACCCGTTATTCTGTCAGTACTCTGAAATGTTCTACTGAACCTGTAATACTTTCTCTTAAGATGTATTTTATGACTGCAATCTTTTCCACTAGAAATTTACTCTGATCTTCTCCTTCTCTGTTTTGAAAAATTTATTAAGTAAAAACAGGCAATTATAAAAAAGAAAAAAAAAGTTATTGAAGGGTAGTGCTTATTTAAACACAAAACAAATTGATTTCTCAGTAATGTTGGCTATAGGATGGTAACCTTCTTCCCTCAGGATGATATGACAGAGTATGAATCTGAGAACGTCTCATTTCCTTCACAGCCATTGTCAATTTCACAGTCGTCATGCACACACAGCAGCAGTGGAACACTTTAATTGCTGCTTCATTCTAGCTGGCACGTAGAGCCCAGATACCTGCAATGAGCATAAGATAAAAGTTGTAGTGGGCTGAGGGCAGTTATATCTTATAAATCTCTGTGGGGGGGATGGAGGGAGGGAGAATTTGTCAGTTGTTGGTGTCATGTGGTTGTATAGATCAGCACGGATCAGCCCTCAGCACAGCCGATATCACCTATTGTGATAAAGATTGTTCCCGCAGCTTGAGAATATTTCTTTGACAAGACTCTCTGAACCTAAGTACACCTGTCTGGACATAAATATAAAAGCTGTCACTTGTTCCTGGACTGTCATCCTTATTGTTCTTTCAATACATAGTGAGCCAGTAAAGGAGTGCCTGACTTGCGTGCATGTTTTTTGTGTCTGTGCCCCGCTGGGCAGTTCAACAAGGATCAGGATGACCGTCCTGAAGCGGGAACCTTCAGAAAGCATTCAGCAATGGCAGCTTCTATATTTCCTTCTTGCCAAGTTCCCCTTATTCATTTGACTGTGTGAGATTGAACCTGGTAATGATAGTAGCCTCATATTCAATTCATCCACGCCAGCCTAGGTATATGTGTTGTGTACGTACGTGTTTTTGTTTTGTATTTAACTTTAGAATTCTGCATCTTTATTAGGAAAGGATGAACACTAATGGTTTATCTTATAGTGCATTTCAATTATGTTTTAAAATATATCTAAACTAAAGAACAAAAATGTAATCTATTACAGCTTACCAGTCTTTAGATGTGGTGGTTGCATTAATCTTCATTTTTTTAGACTGAGAACATTTTCAGTGAGTACAGAAAATACCTGTTGATTTTGGTAGAAATGCAGAGACCTTGTCACTGAAGCTGCACTGAAAGCAGATGTTTTCTTTTCTATTTTTTTTTTTTTTTTAGGCAAACTATTTCCCCCCCTCCCCCCATAGATACAGGTGAGAAGTGAGCTTTGCCACACAGAGGCAGGCATTGAGTTATTTGCAGAATTACTAGGTAAAATTGAAAGGAAATGCAGCCTGAATAAAGAAATGCAGTGCAGTCTTTTTGTCTCAGGACTAGTAAGGTACAATGCATCACAAAAAAACATCAAATGCAGGAAAATGTCAGTTAATATACGTATAAAATCAAAACCTTGGTATACCACGTATAAACTGACATTGAGGAGCCCCTGGTGCTGATGCCTGCAGAGGGATGCAAAGGATGTGTCCAAGGATTTGGAACCTCCCGGAGGTCAGGGAAGGTCACACGCTGGCTTCTGAATGTCAGCTGGGTTAAGTGGTGGAGATTTATGTGTGTGAGGTTGTCTGCGGAACGTGCCTGAAATACAGTGTGTCATCCCTGCTAATATGGAGGATTTATCCTGCCACATCTTCTTTGTTCTCTCAATAAAGTTATCAGATGTCAACATACTCAGAATCATCAAGAAAAAAATAGGCTGTGCGGTACAAAATGCGGCTTTTGCTGTGAATAATCATGAAGCACAATTTTTAAATTATTTTTGATTAAAGAGAATCTGTCACAAAAGAGTTGATACCAAATGAAGTGATACCACATTGCTGCAGAGAAGGCTGAAACAATGTAGAAATCGTGATCTTTTTATATTCCTGTCTGCATTGCCAAGTAACCAACAGTGGAAAACTCACATTGTCACAGACGAAGAAGAGATTATGGAAAATACAGTTAAATGTGGCGTTTTCCCTTAAGAGATATTGTATATGATGAAAATTTTCCTTTTTTTCACTGGAAGCTGGAAATTAGAAAATCCTCTGCCTGCAATCGATCGCTTCATGAAATGCGTGTCTCACCACGCTGATTGTCCTCATAACATAACGACGCAGATGAGAACATTGGATATTACAAGATAAAAAGAGTCCACAGCACAGCTCCATTCCCCGGGGCTGCCGAGCGCAGAGGCAACAAAGACGGACAAATTGTTTTTTTTTCTTTCCTTTTTCTAAGAACACAGAAGAAAAACAGCCATTCCTGTCGCCCTTGGTGTATCCGTTTTTTGTCAGTCGCATGGGATGAAACTCTATTAGCATTGTGGGGACAAAATGATCTTTAAGCGCAGGGCCCACACGAAGACAGGCGGGTGATTACAGCACTCAGGCAGTCGATATTACTTATGCTGCCCCATAAAACGCAGGACTCGGGGTCAGCAGAGAGATTCGCTGGCCGTAATTGGATGAGTCGTCTACATCACACAGCAAAACGTTTGTGGAAAATAAAAGCACAGCAGATAATTCCAGCTTTTATTA